CTTGTTGATTTTGGTACATAGCAAAGAAATCATGTTTGAGTAAATGTGAAAAAAAATAAAGGTGTTTGACAATCACTGAAATTGGTGGGGAAAAAAGGAGAACAAAGTTAGAGGGACAGCGCAGAAGACATGGAGTATAGATTTTTAGACTCTTCTATCTGGTAAATAAAATAACCATATAATTTGTCATCCAAACAGGTGCTTTTGTCTGGGACAAAGATTAACCTAAAAGTGGTTTTAGATAACAGGCATGAATTTAGGATTGTCCCAGGCAAGCCAAATCATATGTTAACCCTTCAAAAACAGCATGCAGCTCTGTGTGTTTTCAAACAACCCAAATTTTAATTAAGGGAGATATTGATGCCCTAATTACCAAATGTAAAAGAAACCTAAATAACACAGGTAATTCCAGCTTTTTCTGTGTAAACAAAAAGACGGTTATATAGTTACCATCTGATGGATGCTTAGTTAATTATCTTAACTGATTAAAGTGAAAAATAGTACTTTCCTATAGAAATGGCATGAGAAAAGATAAATGAATGTATGCTTCTTTATCATAATGGTTATGTCCTCTTCCTTTAATTATGGTGATACAATCAGGTACATGTTCATAAAAGTGTAATATACCCTCTTGGAACATGTAATAAGCCATTTGAAAATTCATAATGTAAAAGATAAAATTAGCTTCCCTTAAAATTATTTATGAACTACATATACCTAAAAAAGATTGATAATGTAGCCAATGTTTCCAATAATAGCAAAGGAATAACTTATTTCTTTGCTAATTGACCTAGGCAAAATTAAATTACTTATGGTATTTAATTAAGTTCTCATCCACCTAATAGTTATTTTGCATTATTAACAACCTGTATTATTGCCATCTTGGCCAGAAAGAAGCTCTCCATTCACTCCTCAGTAAGTAATTCTTGTTAAACTATGTACCAAACACTGTGTTAATCAAAAATGAAAATGAAAAACAGCAATTAAAAAACTGTCCAGCCCTGGAGGAAAAAAAGTGGAACTAGATGGGACAGGTCGGGACATCACATTCCAGGCAGCATCTGAGAGTCTTGGTTCTTGGATGCCCTACCCAGCACCTGCAGCTCTAGAGAACCAGAGCAACTCTCATACTGAGTGGGGACTGTTTGGCCATTCTGTCCCTCAGCCGGTTCTCGTCACTACACAATGCTTGTGCTGCTACGCTACGCAAAGAATCCCAAGTTCCCCATTTCAGGGAGAATCAAGAATACAGAGCCAACCCCATGGTACACTTGGGAGAGTGCGGTGCTGGGAGCACAGCTATGTGCTGCTACGCTACGCAAAGAATCCCAAGTTCCCCATTTCAGGGAGAATCAAGAATACAGGGCCAACCCCATGGTACACTTGGGAGAGTGCGGTGCTGGGAGCACAGCTATGCTCCCGCCGCGGGTTCGGATCCTATATAGGGATGGCCGGTGTGCTCACTGGCTGAGCGCAGTGCAGACGACACCAAGCCAAGGGTTGCAATCCCTTTACCGGTCACGAAAAGAAAAAAAAAGACAAGAAAAAAAAGAATACACACTTTCAAGCCTCTGCTCACCCTTGACCTGTCTGTAATATAAGTCTCTCCTTCCTCTTTCATCTATCCACATTTACGTATACGATGCACCTCAAAAAGTTCCAGGGAAGATTTATCTTTTAATTCTATTTTTACACAGACTTTTTGAAGTGACCTCATACGTACATGTATATGTGAAATGTTACAGCCCTGTCTTAAGTTTTTAGACATTAGACTTCAATTCACAGTTCATCCCTTGTGAAATCGAATTGCAGTATATGTTTAAGTATTTCATGAAGAGAAAATGGGGGAAGATTGGCAGCACTTGAATATATGGTTTAAAAATTTTTTAAAAATTTAAAATTTTTTTTAGAAATTAAAAAAAAAAAAGAACAGAACAGAACAGTGTGTCCTTCCTGTCGGGCAGAAGGGTTTGTTTAATCTCTACTTAACCCTGCAGGAAACTAATTATACACAAATTCAAAGGCTTTCACCATTAATATTTCTCACCAGAGGAAATATGTGCTTTACAGATTTTTAAGGAACCTTAAAGCATGTGCCAGAGACCTGCAGAAGCAAGGAGGATTGGACTCCATTATTTGTTGATTTTGTTTGTTTGTTTTTTCTGGATTGTGATGAATTTCTATTTCCTCCTTTCTAATCAGTTGGTAGTATGGCCAACCAATCGTGGTATGACTCCCGGTAATAAATATAGTATGAGAACAGATTTTTTGTGCTTGCTTCTAACTCTTAAAATTTTGCAACAACTTAGAGTTCACACAATTTCCTACATTTTCTAGAAATTCTGGTTTTGCATTTTGATGGTAATCAATAAAAGAAAGATCATCCATTCAACCACCCTAGTAAGTACAATAAACACGTCCGCCGTGCTGCAACCAAATGACTGATAACTTCTCATGAAGATACAGACTTAGCCCTTTATAATCAAGATTGGTTTGTAAAGCCTCACCAGATATTCAGTGCCTTCTAATGAGCTTTAGCCATGCAGACATTTACAAATTTTAGATAACTAGTACAACTTAGTTAACGACATATGCCTAGTCTTCATGCAATGGAACCTTATTTATTTC